CTCTCTCTCTCTCTTCCCTGACCATGCTTGAGTAGATAGTTGTTCAGCTTCCACGTGTATGTGGGTTTTCTGTTGTTTTTGTTGCTATTGAAGACCAGCCTTAGTCCTTGGTGGTCTGGTAGAATACATGGGATTAATTCAGCATTCTTATATCTGTTAAGGTTTGTTTTGTGTCTGAGTATATGGTTGGTTTTTGAGAAGGTACCATGAGCTGCTGAGAAGAAGGAGTATTCTTTTGTTTTAGGGTGAAATGTTCTGAAGATATCTGTTAAATCCATTTGGTTCATAACTTCTCTCAGTTTCATTGTGTCTCTGTTTAGTTTCTGTTTCCATGATCTGTCCATTTTTGAGAGTGGGGTGTTGAAACCTCCTACTATTATTGTGTGAGGTTCAATGTCTGTCTTGAGCTTTAGTAGAGTTTCTTTTACAAATGTGGGTGTCCTTGCATTTGGAGCATAGATGTTCAGAATTGAGAGTTCATCCTGGTGGATTGTTTCCTTTGATAAGCATGTAGTGACCTTCCCCATCTTTTTTGATAACTTTTGGTTGAAAGTCAATTTTGTTAGATATTAGGATGGATACTCCAGCTTATTTCTTGGGATGATTTGCTTGGAGAATTTTTTTCCCCTCCTTTTACTTTGAGGTAATGTCTGTCTTTGACTCTGAGGTGTGTTTCCTGTATGCAGCAAAAGGCTGGATCCTGTTTATATATCTAGTCTTTTAGCCTATGTCTTTTTATTGGGGAATTCAATCCACTGATGTTGAGAGATATTAGGGACCAATGATCATTGCTTCCTGTTATTTTTGTTCTTAGAGTTGCAATTATGTCTGTTGTGTTTCTGTTCTTTTGAGTTTGTTGTGAAAGATTTGGTTCTTGCTTTTTCTTGGGTGTAGTTTCCATCCTTGTGTTGGACTTTTCCTTCTTTTTTCCTCTGTAGGACTGGATTAGTAGAAAGGTATTGTTTGAATTTGTTTTTTTCTTGGAAAATGTTGGTTTCTCCATCTATGGTAATTGCAAGTTTTTCTGGGTATAGTAGCCTGGGTTGGCATTTTTGAACTCTTAGGGTCTGTATGACATCTACCCAGGCTCTTCTGGCTTTTATAGTCTCTGGTGAGAAGTCTGGTATAATTCTGATAGGTTTGCCTTTATATGTTACTTGACATTTTTCCTTTACTACTTTCAATATTCTTTCTTTATTCTGTGCATTTAGAATTTTAATTATTATATGATGAGAGGAATTTCTTTTCTGGTCCCATCTGTTTGGTGTTCTGTAGGCTTCTTGTATGTTCATGGGCATTCCTTTACTTAGGTTAGGAAAGTTTTCTTCTATAACTTTGTTGAAGATGTTTGCTGGCCCTTTGAGTTGGGAATCTTCACCCTCTTCTATACCTATTATTTTCAGGTTGGGTCTTTTCATTGGTTTTATTGGTTGGGTCCTGGATTTCTTGAATGTTTTGAGATAGGAGCTTTTTGCTTTTTGTATTTTCCTTGACTGTTGTGTCTATGTCTTGTTTTGTATCTTTTGCCATCGAGATTCTCACTTCTGTCTCTTGTATTCTGTTAGTGAAGCTTGCATCTTTGATTCCTGATCTCTTTTATCCAGGGCTTTCCATCTCCAGGACTGTCTCCCTTTGAGTTTTCTTTAATGATTTCACTTCCATTTTAGATCCTGGATGGTTTTGTTCAATGCCTTCATCTGTTTGCTGGAGCCAAACTCATGAACTTACCTGCTGTTCTAAGAGAACCTCATGAAATTACCTGCAGTTCTGGAAAATCTAGTCAGATAAAGTACAAGGTTAAGAAAGCTGTTCACAGGTCTCAGGTCCCAGGAACTTAAAGGAGGTCTGGTATTTCCTGGGAGCTGGTTATGACAGTGAGCTGGTCTTAGACAATGAGGATTCAATAGTGGGATAGCCTTAAGCAATGGCCCTTGCCTAAAATTTCTGTTTTGCTGTGTCTTTATAACTTGCCTCCTGAAATTAAAGTTAGAGAGCTTAATCATAACCCTAGACTTGCTCTCATTCTTTGTGTCTCTTGTCCCTTCATTCTTTGGTCCCCTTCCCTAGGGTCTCGTCGAATCCCCTGAGGGCCGGGGCACCTGTTTGATTTCATTGTCCTGTATTTCTTTAAGAGATTTATGCATTTTTCTTCTACTTGTTTACTTGTATTCTGCATTTCTTTAAGGGAGTTATTTATGTCCTTCTTAAGGTCCTCTATCATCTTCATGAAATGAGATTTTAGATCTGAGTCTTGTTTTAAGGGTGTCTTTGGGTATCCAGGACTTGCTGTGGTGGGAGAACTGGGTTCTGATACTGCCAAGTCAAATTGGTTTCTGTTGCTTATGTTCTTATGCTTGCCTCTCACCATAACTGATTATCTCTGGTTATCTGGCCTCCCTGTCTTTGATTGGAGCCTGTCCTTTCTGTGATTTTGTGATCCTGGGGAGTGGAGCTGGGAGGTCAAGCTGCCACTGGTGTATGTGCTGTGTGGGATTAGGTCTCTGCTCCTGGTGGGCACAGGTGGGAGTTGGAAGGCACCCCAGTTTCTGGGCTGGGCAGGGAATCTGCTTCCCTGGTAGACTTTACTCTTTTTTTAAAAAAATTATTTATTTATATATATCACAGATACTGCCCCCTTCTGGTCCCACCCTCACAGAGTTCCTCCCTTCAAACCTCTGCTTCTCCCCTGAGGATGTGTGGATCCAGCTGGTTATCCTCCATTACGGTGCATCAAGTCTCTGGAATATTAGGCACTTTCTTTTCCACTGAAGCCAGACAAGGCAGCACTGTTGGGGGGTGGATACCACAGTTAGGATACAGCTTTATGGAGAGCCTCTGCTCCAGTTCTTGGGGGACTCACATGGATACTGAGCTGAATGTTTGTTACATATTTGCCAGGGGATTTGTTCAAGCCTGTGTATGTTCTTTGGTTCGTGGCACAATCTCTAAAGGTCCCAGGTGTCCAGGTTAATCGACTCTTTTGGTCTTCTTATGTGATTCCCATCCCTTACAGGGCCTTCAATCCTTCCCCCAACTCTTACATAAGAATCTGGACCTCCAGACTGGCTGTGGGTATCAGCATCTGTTTTGGTCAGCTGCTGGGTAGAGCCTCTCTGAGGCTATGCTAGGTTCTTTTCTGCAAGTATAACAGAGTATCATTAAAAGTTTCAGGGATTGGTGCTTGCCCATGGGTATGTTTTGAGTTAGATTGGTAATTGGTTTGACACTCCTTCAGTCTCTGCTCCATCTTTGTCCTTGCATTTCTTTTGGACAGGATAAATACCACACATAGGTCTATGAGAAGTATTCATCTGAGTTTTATACAATATAACTTAGGTCTTCCAAAAGACAATTATGTGCTAGTACATTGGAGTTATTAGCCTTATATATAAAAGATAAAATATATAGAAATCATTCAAATAATAACAAGACTTGTTCTGTTTGTACAGCTCAAATTGTAGTGGTTAGGGGTTATGAGGAAAGTAGAACCCTTTGAGCATATTTCCTCTGTAGAGAGAAATCCTCTCATATATCGTAAGTAAGACATTGACTTTCTAAGATGATTATGAATCTTCTTTGCCTGGGGTTAGAGGAGAGGCTTGAGACAAGATCTCTGTATCACAATTTGTACTGAAGCTCACTCTATAGAGTCAGAGCTACCAGTGATTGTATGCCAATCTTCCTCCTCTGCTTACCCAGCGGTAGAATTATAGTAGTGATCCATTACATGTGGTACATAAAGGCAGATGTTTAACACACATTTACTGAGTAGAGCATTTAATGACATTACCAAGCTGTCTTCAGTGTTTGGTATTTTAAATGACACACTACTGTAGGGTTGTTGGGCTCCTGTGTCTGCTCTACCACAGGGCTCAGCTTCTTTTTTTTTTTTAATTGGAAGTTTTATTTACATTTCATATGTTATCCTCTTACCCCATCCCCCACCCACCCAGGACCCCCCATCCCCTCACCCCTCCTCCTGCTTCTCTGCAGATGTATCCCTACCTACCCTCCCACTCCCACCTCCCCACCCTCAAATTCCCACCCCCTGGAGCATTTAGCCTTCGGGAGACCGAGGATCTCTTCTTCCACCTATGCCCAGCAGGGCCCTCCACCCTTACATATACAGCTGAAGCCATGGATCCCTCCCTAAGTGCTCTCAGGCTGGTGTTTTAGACCCTGGGAGCTCTGGTTGGTTGGCATTGTTGCTCTCCTCATGGGGCCGCAGACCCTTTCAGCTCCTTCAGTCTTCACTCTAACTCCTCCTTTGGGAACCCCATTATCAGTTCAACGGCTAGCTGTGAGCATCTGCCTCTGAATATGTCAGACTCTTGAAGACCTCTGAGGAGATATCCATATCAGGCTCTTATCAACATGCACTTCCTGACTTCCACATCAGCCTCTACCTTTGGTGACTGCACATGGGATGGATATTCAGGTGGAATGGTCTTCAGACGGCCGCTCCTTCAGTTTCTGTCCCTCACTTTGTCTCCATATTTGCTCCCTTGAGAATTTTGTTGCTCCTTCTAAGAAGAACCAGCACCCCCACTTGGTCTTCCTTCTTCATGAGCTTCATGTGGCCTGTGAGTTGAATCTTGGGTATTTCAAGGTTCTGGGCTAATATCCAATAATTAGTGAGTGAATACCATATGTGTTCTTTTGTGATTGGCTTACCTCACTCAGGATGATATTTTCTAGTTCCATCCATTTACCTAAGAATATCTCAAATTCATTGTTTTTAATAGCTGAGTAATACTCCATTGTGTAAATGTACCACATTTTTTTATCCATTCCTCAGTTGAAGAACATCTGGGTTCTTTCCAGCTTCTGGCTATTATAAATAAGGTTGCTATGAACATAGTTGAGCATATGTCCTTGTTATATGTTGGAGAATCTTCTGGGTATATGCCTAGGAGTGGTATAGCTGGATTCTCAGGTAATGCTATGTCCAATTTTCTGAGGAACTGCCACACTGATTTCCACAGTGGTTGTATCAGCTTGCAATCACACCAACAATGGAGGAGTGTTCCTCTTTCTCCACACCCTCACCAGCATCTACTATCACCTGAGTTTTCAATTTTAGCCATTCTGACTTGTGTGAGTTTAAATCTCAGGGTTGTTTTGATCTGCATTTCCCTGATGACTAAGGATACTGAACATTTCTTTAGGTGCTTCTCAGTCGTTTGAGTTTCCTCCATTGAAAATTCTTTGTTAAGCTCTATACCCCATTTTTTAATAGGGTTATTTGGTTGTCTGGAGTCTAATTTCTTAAGTTCTTTGTATATATTGGATATTATCCCTCTATCAGATGTAGAATTGGTAAAGATCTTTTCCCAATTTGTTGGTTGTTCTTTTGTCCTATTGACAGTGTCCTTTGCCTTACAGAAACTTTGCAATTTTATGAAGTCCCATTTGTCAATTCTTGATCTTAGAGCATATGCCATTGGTGTTCTGTTCAGGAACTTTCCCCCTGTGCCCAAGTATTCGAGGTTCTTCCCCACCTTCTCTTCTATTAGTTTCAGTGTATCTGGTTTTATGTGGAGGTCCTTTATCCATTTAGACTTGAGCTTTGTACAAGGAGATAAGAATGGATCAATTTTCATTCTTCTACATGTTGTCCTCCAGTTGAACCAGCACCATTTGTTGAAAATGCTGTCCTTTTTTCACTGGACAGTTTTAGCTCCTTTGTCAAACATCAAGTGACCATAGGAGTGTGTGTTCATTTCTGGGTCTTCAATTCTATTCCATTGATCCTCCTGCCTGTCTCTGTACCAATACCATGTAGTTTTTAATCACTATTGCTCTGTAGTACAGCTGGAGGTCAGGGAAGGTGATTCCTCCCGAAGTTCTTTTATTGTTGAGAGTAGTATTCACTATCCTTGGTTTTTTTGTTATTCCAAATGAATTTGAGAATTTCCTTTTCTAACTCTGTGAAGAATTGAGTTGGGATTTTAATGGGAATTCCATTGAATCTGTAGATTGCTTTTGGCAAGATGGCCATTTTTATTATATTAATCCTGCCAATCCATGAGCATGGGAGATCTTTCTATCTTCTGAGATCTTCTTCGATTTCTTTCTTCAGGTACTTGAAGTTCTTGTCATACAGGTCTTTCACTTGCTTGGTTAGATTTACACCAAGGTATTTTATATTATTTGCAACTATTGTGAAGGGTGTTATTTCCCTAATTTCTTTTTCAGTCTGTTTATTTTTCATGTAGAGGAAGGCTACTGATTTGTTTGAGTTGATTTTATAACCAGCCACTTTGCTGAAGTTGTTTATCAGGTTTAGGAGTTCTCTGGTGGAAGTTTGGGGTCACTTAAGTATACTATCATATCATCTGCAAATAGTGATATTTTGACTTCTTCTTTCCCTATTTGTGTTCCTTTGACTACTTTTTGTTGTCTAATTGCTCTGGCTAGGACTTCCAGTACTATATTGAATAGGTAGACGGAGAGTGGGCAGCCTGTCTAGTCCCTGATCTTAGTGGAATTGCGTCCAGTTTCTCTCCATTTAGTTTGATGTTGGCTACTGGTTTGCTGTAAACTGCTTTTACTATGTTTAGGTATGGGCCTTGAATTCCTGATCTTTCCAAGACTTTCATATGAAGGGATGTTGAATTTTGTCAAATGCTTTCTCAGCATCTAGTGAGATGATCATGTGGTTTTTTTCTTTAAGTTTGTTTATATAGTGGATTACATTGATGGATTTCTGAATATTGAACCATCCATGCATTCCTGGGATAAAACCTACTTGATCATGATGGATGATTGTTTTGATGTGTTCTTGGATTTGGTTTGCTAGAATTTTATTGAATATTTTTGCATCGATGTTCATAAGGGAGATTGGTCTGAAGTTCTCTTTCTTTGTCGGGTCTTTGTGAGATTTGAGTATGAGTGTAATTGTAGCTTCATAGAACGAACTGGGTAGTGTTCCTTCTGTTTCTATTTTGTGGAATAGTTTGAAGAGAATTGGTATTAGGTCTTCCTTGAAGGTCTGATAGAATTCTGCACTAAATCTGTCTGATCCTGGGCTTTTTTTTTTTTGGTGGGGAGACTTTTAATGACTGCTGCTATTTCCTTAGGGGTTATGGGACTGTTTAAATGGTTTATCTGCTCCTGATTTAACTTTGGTACCTGGAATCTGTCTAGGAAGTTGTCCATTTCATCCGGGTTTTCCAATTTGGTTGAGTATAGGCCTTTGTAGTAGGATTTGATGATTTTTTGAATTTCTTCAGTTTCTGTTGTTATGTCTCCCTTTTCAGTTCTGATTTTATTAATTTGGATACTGTCTCTGTGCCCTCTAGTTAATCTGGCTAAAGGTTTATCTATCTTGTTGATTTTCTCAAAGAACCAGCTCCTGGTTTTGTTGATATTTTGTATTGTTCTTTCTGTTTCTATTTGGTTGATTTCAGCCCCGAGTTTGGTTATTTCCTGCCTCTACTCCTCCTGGGTGTATTTGCTTCTTTTTGTTCTAGAGCTTTTAGTTGTGCAGTCAAGTTGTTAGTGTGTGCTCTTTCCAGTTTCTTTTTGTAGGCAGTTAGAGCTATGAGTTTTCCTCTTAGCACTGCCTTCATGGAGTCCCACAAGTTTTGGTATGATGTGTCCTCATTTTCATTAAATTCTAAAAAGTCTTTTTTGTTTGTTTGTTTTTTTTGAGAAAGGATTTCTCTGTATAGCCCTGGCTGTCCTGGAACTGACTCTGTAGACCAGGCTGGCCTCGAACTCAGAAATCCGCCTGCCTCTGCCTCCCAAGTGCTGGGATTAAAGTCATGTGCCACCACCGTATGGCTCCTAAAAAGTCTTTAATTTCTTTCTTTATTTCTTCCTTGAGCAAGTCATCATTGAGTAGAGAGTTGTTCAGTTTCCATGTGCACGTGAGTTTTCCATTGGTTTTGTCATTATTAAAGACCAGACTTAGTTCGTGGTGATCTGATAAGATGCAAGGGATTATTTCAATCTTTTGTATCTGTAGAGGCCTGCTTTGTGACCAATTATACGGTCTATTTTGGAGGAGGTACCATGAGGTGCTGAGAAAAAGGTATATTCTTTTGTTTTAGGATGAAATGTTCTATAGATATCTGTTAAGTCCATTTGGTTCATAAGTTCTGTTAATTTCAAAGTGTCTCAGTTTAGTTCCTGTTTCCATGATCTGTCCATTGCTGAGAGTGGGGTGTTGAAATCCCCCACTATTATTGTGTGAGGTGTAATGTGTGTTTTGAGCTTTAGTAAAGTTTCTTTTACGTATGTAGGTGCCCTTGCATTTGGAGCATAGATGTTCAGAATTGAGAGTTCACCTTGGTAGATTTTTCCTTTAATGAGTATGAAGTGTCGTTCCTTATCTTTTTTGATTACTTTTGGATGAAAGTTGATTATGTTTCATATTAGAATAGCTACTCCAGCTTGTTTCTTGGGACCATTTGCTTGGAAAATTGTTTTCCATCCTTTTATTCTGAGGTACTGTCTGTCTTTGTCACTGAGGTGCATTTCTTGTATGCAGCAAAATTTTGGGTCCTGTTTGTGTATCCAGTCTGATAGTCTGCGTCTTTTTATCAGGGAATTGAGTCCATTGATGTTAAGAGATATTAAGGAAAAATGATTGTGGCTTCCTGTTATTTTTGTTATTAAAGGTAGAATTATGTTTGTATAGCTATCTTCTTTTGGGGTTGTTGGAAGATTACTTCCTTGCTTTTTCTAGGTTGTAGTTTCCCTCCTTGTGTTGGTGTTTTCCATCAATTATCCTTTGAATTGCTGGGTTTGTGGGAAGATACTGTGAAAATTTGGTTTTGTCATGGAATATCTTGGTTTCACCATCTATAGTGATTGAGAATTTTGCTGGGTATAGTAATCTGGGCTGGCAACTGTGTTCTCTTAGTGTCTGTATGATGTCAGTCTAGGCTCTTCTGGCTTTTATAGTCTCTGATGAGAAGTCTGGTGTAATTCTTATAGGTCTGCCTTTATATGTTACTTGACCTTTTTCCCTTACTGCTTTTAGTATTTTTTCTTTGTTTTGTGCATCTGATGTTTTGATTATTATGTGACGGGAGGTATTTCTTTTCTGGTCTAGTCTATTTGGTATTCTGTAGGCTTCTTGTATGTTTATGGGCATCTTGTTCTTTAGGTTAGGGAAGTTTTCCTCAATAATTTTGTTGAAGATATTTACTGGCCCTTTAAGTTGGGAATCTTCATTCTCATCTATACCTATTATCCTTAGGTTTGGTCTTCTCATTGTGTCCTGGATTTCCTGGATGTTTTGGGTTAGGAGTTTTTTGCATTTTGCATTTTCTTTGACAGCTGTGTCAATGTTTTCCATAGTATCTTCTGCACATGAGATTGCCTCTTCTATCTCTTGTATTCGGTTGGTGATGCTTGCATCTATGATTCCTGATCTCTTTCCTAGTTTTTCTATCTTGATGGCTGTCTCCCTTTGAGATTTCTTTATTGTTTCTATTTCCATTTTCAGATCCTGAATGTTTTTGTTTAATTCCTTCTTTGTGTTTTCTTGCAGTTCTTTAAGGGATTTTTGTGTTTCCTCTTTAAGGGCTTCTACCTGTTTACTTGTACTTTCCTGTATTTCTTTAAGAGAATTACTTATGTCCTTAAAATCCTCTATCATCATCATGAGAAGTGATTTTAATTCTGAATCCTGCTTTTCTGGTGTGATGGGGTGTCCAGGGCTTGCTATATTGGGAGAACTGGGTACTGATGATGCCAAGTAACTTTGGTTTCTGTTGCTTATGTTCTTGCACTTGCCTTTCGACATCTGGTTAACTTTAGTGTTACCTGCCCTCACTGTGTAAGATTGGAGCCTGTATTTCCAGTTATCTTGTTTGTGTCAGAGCTCCTCAGAGTACAGATGTCTCTGTGGTCTTATGATCCTAATCTCCTGGGTGGAAGAACTCCTGGGACTCAGGCCACCTCTGGGATCTGGAAATCCTTCTGCTCTGGGTGCAGTGGTTCCTCTAGGATGGCTCAGGATTCAATAGCTCCACAGGAACAGACCAGCTATATGTCTGCACCAGCCAAAAGGAGGGCTCAGCTTCTTGTTGAAGTGGGACACAGGAAGTTCTGACCAAGATTACCCCACACTGTCTCAGGCTGTAGGGTAGCTCCTGGACACAGGGACAGTGTTGTTGGGGTGGTAAAGCATAGTCTGAGGTGCAGGACAGCCAGAGCTGGTTTGGGGGTCCCTGGGTCTGTGACAACACTGGAGGCTGTCTGGTTCTCAGGCTCTTGGACACCCAGGTGCCACTGGGAGCTGTGGAAGAGCTGAGAACATAATTGGGGCACTCGGGCTGGATCTAATCTGGGGTGGGAGATGGGGGTAGGGGGTGGGGTAGGGAGCAGGGAGTGGGGAGTTCCGGCTGGTTCCCTGGGGGAGAGTACTTGGTTTGACTGCCATGGTTGGCTTGAACTTGGTGGCAGCCATGGCTGGGAATACAGAAAGGCTGGAGATTAGATGGTGGCTCTATAGACAAAGGCCTTCTCCATGGCTCCCCTTGGTGGATTCTGATGAAAAGAGGCAGTCCATGATTTTAAGGCATTTATTATCATGGTGGAAAGTGAATGAATAAAACCATTTCACAGTTCTTAGGGTGGGTCTGAGGTTAAATACCTTTTGCAGGGTGGAATGTCTGGGAAAGAAAGCTTATTAGCTAAGCCCTCCAGGCCTTTAGGTACCTCATTAAAATGGAGAATTGTCTTAAGCCTACATGAACACAGATCACATCCTCTACATGTGGAGGGAGGGGCTTGAGGCATTAACTTTATGTGACCAATGGCCACAAATCTATGGGGGGCTACAGCTGGTTTGAGGGTCTCCAAATCTGGGGCACCACTGGGGCCATCTGGTTCTCAGGCTCTTGGACACCCAGGTGCCACTGGGAGCTGTGGAAGAGCTGAGAATGTAGCTGGGGCCCTTGAGCTGGATCTAGCCCAGGGCTGTGGTAAAAAGTGGGGCGCTCCAGCTGGTTCCCTGGAGGAGAGCCCTTGGTTTGTTGGCCATGGTGCTTGGGAACTGCTGAAGCACCTACAGTCCTTTCAGTGTTTTCTGGGTTTCAAGCCTTAGCTGAACCAGGGACCAAGTTACCTTTCCTGATCCCATACCCTACCACCTTCAACATCAAAAAACAGGAATTAAAAATCATTGGTCACTAATATTTCTCAACATCAAATGACTCAATTCCTCAATAAAACGGTATGGGCTAACAGAACGGATACATAATCAGGATCCATCATTCTGCTATACAAAAGAAACACACCTCAGCAACCACCTCAGAGGAAAGGTCTAGAAAGAGGTTTTCCAAGCAAATGGACCCAAGAAACAAGAAGGAGTAACCTCGCCATTCTTATATCTAATAAATAGACCTTCAACCAAAAGTAAGCAGAAGAGATGGGGATTACACTTTGTACTCATCAAAGAAAAACTCTACAAAGTTGTTATCACAATCTATGCTGCAAATGTAAGGGTACCCACATTCATTAAAGACACATTGCTGGAGCTTCTGTAACACATTGAATCCCACACAATAACAGTGGGAGATGTCAACACCTCACTTTCAAAAATGGACAGGTCACCAAGAAAGAAACTAAATAGAAAAATAATGAAACTAACAGAGATTATGATTCAAATGAACCTAACAGATACCTACAGAACATTTCACCCAAGCACAAAATGGACTTTTTCCAGCATCTCACAGAACTTTTTCCAAAATTGACTATGTACTGGATCACAAAGCAAGCCTCAAGGGATAAAAGAAGTTTGAAATAGCCCCATGCATCTTATCAGATCACCATGGATTAAACTTGAACTTGAAAAACAGTAGATACAACAGAAAGCTTGTAAACTAATGGAAACTGAATAATTGCCTATTTACTGACCACTGAGTCAAAGAAGAAAAAAGAAGGAAATGAAAAACTTTCTAGAATTCAATGAAAACGAAGACACAACATATCCAAACTTGACACAATGAAAGCAGTGGTAAGAGAAATGTTCAGAGCACTAAGCAACTTCATAGAGAAACTGGAGAGATCTCATACTAGCAACTTAACAGCACACCTGAAATCTTTAGAATAAAAGATACAAACACACCAAATAGCAGGAGATGGCAGGAAATAACAAAGCTCATGGCTGAAATGAATGAATTAGAAACAAAGAGAATGGCTGAAAAAAAAAAACAACAAAATCAAGAGCTGGTTCTTTGAGGAAATCAACAAGATAGACAAGCCCTTAGCCAAGCTAAGTAAAAGGCAGAAAGACAATATCTAAATAAACAAAATCAGAAATGAAAAGGGAGACATAACAACAGACACTGAGAAAATTCAAAGAATCATTTGGTCTTACTTCACAAGCCTGCACTCTACCAAATTGGAAAATCTAAGTGAAGTGGATGGTATTCCTGATGGATTTCACCTATCAAAGTTAAATGAAGATTGGGTAAACAAACTAAAAAGTCCTATGACCCCTAGTGAAATAGAAGCAATCATTAAAAGTTTACTGATAAAATAAAATCTCAGAACCAGATGGTTTTAGGCAGAACTATATCAGACTTTCAAAGAGGAGCTAATAACAATGCTCCTTAAACTATCCCACAAAACAAACAGCAGGAACATTGCCAAACTAATTTTCCAAGGTCACAGTCACCTTGATACTTAAAGCACACAAAGACGCAACAAAAAATAAAATTTCAGTCAAATTCCTCTTATGAAGACTGATGCAAAATTACTCTCTAAAATACTCAGAAATCAAGTCCAAAAATTCATCAAGCACATCGTCCACCATGATCAAGTAGGCTTCATCTTGGAGATGCAGGATGGCCCAATATACGAAAATCCATCAATGTAATCCACCATATAAATAAACTGAAAGAAAAAAATTCACATGATCGTCTCATTAAATGCTGAGAAAGCGATTGGCAGAATCAGACACCGCTTTGTGTTACAAGTTTTATAGAGTTAGGAATACAAGTTGTGTACCCGAGCATATTCAAAGCAATCTACAGCAAGCCAAGAATCAACAAAAAATTAAATGGGGAGAAAATTAAAGCAATAACATTAAAATCAAGGAAAAGACAGGGCTGCTGACTCTTTCCCTTTCTACTCAACATAGAACTTGAAGTTCTAGTTAGACCAATAAGAAAACAAAAGGAGATCAATGGGATACTAATCGGAAAGGAAATAGTCAAAGTATCACCCTTTCACAGATGATATGATAGTGTATATATGAGCAATTCCAGGAATTATATCAGAGAACTTCTATAGCTGATAAACAACTTTAGCAAAGTGGCTGGATATAAATTATCTCAAAGAAATAAGTAGCTGTCCTTTATAAACCTGATAAACAGGATGATTTGTGCAGGCATATTAGCAGAATCTCAGCCAGTGTGAGTTCAGGAGATGGTTTTCAGTGAAACAGACAACTTTATTGGGGTGGTGTGGTCTACATAACCCTTGGAACATAGGTAGGGTTTTTTTTTGGGGGGTGAGTGTACATCATTGGCAGAGGCTGAGGTGCTGGGAATGCTTCATTTGCATGAAGAGAATTCCTGGTGTTAGCTGGATGTGTACTTATATGGAGATATGAAGTTTAACCTGAATCCAGGCCACCAGGCTACATGATTACCTAAAGGGTGGCAAAGCTGGGGGATGTTCTGGCTATGTGTTTGGATAGATCCAGTTCTAGAGTAAGGTAAGATCAGTCTTACTCCTGTTAATGTCAGGATGAGATGTTCCAGGGTTTGGACATGTTGTGACCTTACAGTTCCTCTGTAATGGCTCTCCCAGTCCCATGGATTTCTAGAGCCAGAATGAAGAGGAGAGAAGAAGGACATTTAGAATTCCTAAAGATCAACAGTAAGGGAGAAATGGTGGGGAAGCTTAGAGCCAGAAGTTCTTTGACATGTCTCAACCAGAGACGAGAGTCCACAAAAGAAATGTGAAGTAAAGTACAAATACAATCCAGAATATAAAAGTTCACAAATGTGACCACCAGCATCAGGATGGTGTGGGCTGCTCTGGTCTCAGCCTGACCTCTATGGTTCCGATTAGTGTTATGTATATAGTGCATTTTCTTGTGGTGTCTGTTTAGGTGAATCACCGTGGAGACACTGGTCCAGACCATGATGCCAATGAACATGGTGTCATGAGAAAACCGCAAGAATCTAATGCCTACACTGAACCCAGAGGTGGAGCAGACCCACATGCCTTTAGAATCAGTTTCATTATGTGATTTCTGCGGACCACTGACCTTTACTGGTATGTAAGCACTGTTTAAGACACTGAGCAACCAGCAACTGTAACAAGAATAACTTAGAACTTTGGAGGATATTTCTCTGGACATGACCTTAGCCCAGTTACCAGAAACAAGAGTGAGAAACTGGTAGGTGCTCAGGGCACAGGTGGAGCACATGTTTGTGCCTCGAGCCACCCCATGATAGAAGTATCCAAGTTTACATGTGAGGTCAGTTGCAGGCTTCCTTGGAACAAAACCCATCATATTGTATGAAAATGGCAAGGGAAGCAGAATGAAAGCATTGGCCACAGCCAAGTTGGTTAGAATGACCTGTATGGGCCTCAGTTGGGAGTCAGTCAGAATTGGAGAGAAATTATGGACAAACAGAAGGATGTTGCTCACAGTCCCAACCCCAATCTGGCAAAGCAAAAAGGTCTGAAGAGCAACTTCTTCTGTGGTTTTCAGGGTTTTATTTTGAAATAACATGGAGAAAGCTTCATTGGACAATGGTGTAAGGATCAGGTTGAACAGTGCTGTCTCAAGAGTCTTCTCAATTATCTGAAATTTTCAGTTGATTTGGAACATTTTTTTCTTGAAAATGTTTGCACTACTTTGCCACACTAAAGGAGGTTTTTCTGGAAAACACTGAAAGGACATTGATCCAGGATATCAACTTAACACTTGTTTTCCTTTCCCTTCACTCATGATGGAACTGAGTGTGAGATGCAACTCTATCTCTGTTGTCCAACACTATGACACACGTAACAGAGCATGGGATCTCCATATGTATACATGAATGTAGGCAGGAGTGTATTTTTGCTTGATGAGAATTATAACAATGTGTTAAGAAACACAAATTTGTTGTTGGAGCGCTGATTCTGGATCTAATGACCTATACTCAGCTTTGTGGCACTTTATGCATGTATTTTCAGCCATACTCCCAAGCAAAACAGTAATGTGCATAAAATAAAGTAAGTATATCTTTAAAAATATAAGGAGTTGGAGAGATGGCTCAGAAGTTACGAGCACTATCTTGCTCTTCCAGAGGATGCAGGTTCATTACCACCACTCTTATGGTTGCTCAAAACTGTGAGTAACTCCAATTCCATAGGATTTGGACCTTCACAATCACACAAGCAGGCAAAACACCAGTGCATATAAAATATAAGTAAAGAAATTTTAAAAATTGTAAAACAAAATTAAAATCCATGCTTTATAAAAGAATGTTAATGAGGAACTGGAAAGATGTCTCAGTGGTTAAGGGCACTGACTGCTTTTCCAGAGGTCCTAAGCTCAATTTGCAACCTCTACATTGTGGCTCACAACGGTCTGAAACGGGATCAGATGCTCTCTTTTGTTGTGTCACATACATTAAATAAATAAATACATACATACATACATACATACATACATATATCTTTATAAAACAGAGTGAATGAAATATGTCCTCCAAATTAATCCATATAGTGTTCATGTATTTTTATACTGCTCATCATAATGTTAGAATACAAATATTATTTTAAAATTGTGTTAGTTTTCTGTTCCCACAGAAGAACCTTAATTTATACATGTATCATCTATGTGGGAAAAATTCTGAGGGATGTTAGCATATCATTGATTCATAACTATCGGAATTTTATTTGTTTTTCTAAGGGGTTGGGTGCTGGACACAGATCTGAGTGAACCACGATAAAAATCATTACCACCATCACCAATAAATGCTTTGGACACACAAATTATTTGAATCTTTGTTTTATAAAGCTCATGTTTCATCTGCAATTTACTTTTTTTTCCTACACAGGAACAATAAATCTCCATCCAAAAACTAAAAACCTGTCGTCTCATGTATGGATGTCACTTTAAAGGACATTTTGAAGTAAGTGCTGAACCATAAAATAGACATTTTCTTTAGGTTAATGAAATCATTGGCATAATTAGGTATATCATGGAGAAAAAGAAAAAATTATTTTAATAACTAATGTTCACTTCATAAGACCCATGGATTACGAAGACCCATGGAGGGAGAAGAGAACTTTAAGCAGAAATCTAAACTTGCAGATATCTCACCTGCTCAGTCCCAGCAAAGATGGGGTTGCTCAAAGAGATGTAGGTCAACTCCTGGACAGTTACTAAAGAAACAGCTCTGACTTTCTCTCCCTTTGAAGAACATCTCTGTGTATCCATTTCCTAAGACAAATTCAAAGATGTGCCCACCTCTCATATGATTTCCATGAAGTACTGTGTACATCACTGAGTGAGTCCAGATATCAGAGCTCATAAAGGGGCAGATTCTGGTCCAGACATCCCTCAGAGTCCATTTCTGTGTCACCTGTGCTGTCATTGAACATGACTGTATGGGGATATTGGAACACTTTTAATGAAAGCAATTGTATTCATCCCAAGAGCAAATCACCATTTTCACTTTCTGGTAATTAATGATGATGCCCAAGAGTTTGTTGTATTGTAATGAGTAGTAGAGCAGAAGTGAGAAGAAGTTTTCCTTGTTTCCTTGGGGAGGATTTAAGTTGTAAAGTGGTGTTGACATCAGGTGTGGAAAGGTGCTCTTCAGGATAGATCAAAGGATATGTTAAATAATATCTGGGGGCTGCATTACACCACATGCTTTCATCTTGAAAAATCTGGCTGACACCAAGTCCTTCCAGACAGACCATCACCATGCAATCTGGAATCTTGTATTTTCCCTTGTGTGGACAAGGGCATTTTAGTTTTACAAACCAAACAATTGAAGCCTGAGTTATCCCTGTGACTCCTTGGGTTATTCCAAGGTTGATTTGTTTCGAGGTAGATCATGACTTATTTTCAGAGCCCTTCATGGAGACTTATTAGTATATTAGACTGTACCAGTTTTTATAGAAATTTACATGGAATGAATCAATTCTGTGAGTACATGCTAGAAAATGGATTGAGGAATCATTTACTAATTTAGTGAATCACCCATATTCATCGCTACTGTATTTATAATAACCATGATATAGAAACAGCTTAAATGTCCATATCTCATGTACAGGCAACATATTTTGGGATAGCCTCTGCTTCAGTTATTCATGACTACATAAAGTTAAGCTACATGTCTGTTACATATGTGTAAGTGGGCCTAGGCCCATCCTGTGTTTGTTCTTTGGTTGGTGGTTCAGTCTTTGATAGCAATAAGAGTCTAGGTTAGTTGACTCTGTTGGTCTTCCTGTGGAATTCCTATCCCCTTAGAGGCTGCAATCCTTCCTCCTCTTCTTCTATAAGAGTCTTCAAGCTCCATCCACTGTTTGGCTGTGGGCACCTACATCTGTCTGAGTCAGCAGCTGGTTGGAGCCTCTAAGAAGCAGCCATGTTAGACTCCTTTCTGTAAACATAACAGAGTATCATTAATAGTTTCAGGGATTAGTGTTTACCCATGGGATGAGTCTCAAGTTGGCCAGTTATTGGTTGGCCATTCCCCCAGTCTCTGCTCTATCTCCCATCTCTGCATTCCTTGTAAACAGGATAAATTTTGGTACAAAAGTTTTGTCATTGGGTTGGTGATCCTATCATTCCACAGGGGTTCCTGCCTGTCTACAGTAGGTGGCCACTTTAGATTCCATATCCCCAGTGCTGTAGGTCAAAGCTAAGGATGCCCATTGATTCTGTGTCTCCGCCCTTATCTGTAATCTCTCTCTTCCTGGTGATGCTCCTGATCTCCACACTCTCATCAGTTGCAGAATTCCATTTATTTTCATGGTCATCTGGCCATCCCTCCTGTCCCTCTCCACATGTGATCCTGAACCTCTCCCATTCCCCTCCAAATTCCCTCTTACACAAAGTTCCTTCCTTCCTCTGCTTCTTATGACTATTTTATTCCCCCTCGTTCATGAGATTCAAACATACTCACTTTTGCCTTTCTTTCTGTATAGCTTCTTTGGGTCTGTTGAGTGTGGCATAGTATTTTATGGCTAATATCTACTTTTTTCTTGGATATTTTATTTATTTACTTTTCAAATGTTATCCCCTTTTCAAGTTCCCTTCCAGAAACCCCCTACCCCATACCCATCTCTGCTTCTATTAGGGTGCTCCCCCACCGACCCACCCACTCCTGTCTTTCAGCCCTGGTGTTCCCCTACACTGGGACATCGAACACTGTCAGGCCTAAGGGCTGTTCCTCCCACTGATGTCCAACAAGGCCATCATCTGCCACATATGTGGCCTGAGCCATGGGTTCCTATATGTGTACTATTTGGCAGGTGATCCAGACCCTTGAACGGTCTGGTCATTGACACTGTTGCTCTACCCATGGAGCTGCAAACTCCCTCAGCTCCTCCAGTCCCTTCTCCAACTCCTCCGTCGAGGACTGCTCAGTCCAATGGTTGGCTGCGTGCATCTGAGCATCTTCCTCTGTATTTGTCGGGTTCTGACAGAGCCTCTCAGGAGGCAGCTATATCAGGCTCCCAACAGCAAGCATTTCCCAGCATCTGCAATTGGGTCCGGGTTTGGAGACTGTATATGGGATGGATCCACAGGTGGGGCAGTCTCTGGATGGCCTTTCCTTTAGTCTCTTTTCTACACTTTGTCTCCATATGTCCTCCTGTGAGTATTTTGTACCCCCTTCTAAGAAGCAGTGAAACTCCAACACTTTGGTCTTCCTTCTTCTTGAGCTTGATATGGTCTATGAATTTTTATCTTGGGTATTCTGAGCTTTTGGGCTAATATCCACTTATCAGTGAGAGCATACCATGTGTGTTCTTTTGTGATTGGGTTACTTCACTCAGGATATTTTCTAGTTCCATCCATTTGCCTAAGAATTTCATGAATTCATTGTTTTTAATAGCTGAGTAATACTCCATTGTATAAATGTACCACATTTTCTGTATCCATTCCTCTGTTTAAGGTCATCTGGGTTCTTTCCAGATTCTGGCTATTATAAATAAGGCTGCTATGAACATAGTGGAGCATGTGTCCTTGTTATATGTTGGAGCATCTTTTGGGTATATGCCCAGGAGTATTATAGCTGGGTTCTCAGTTAAAACTATTTCCAATTTTCTGAAGATCCACCAGGCTGATGTCCAGAGTGGTTGTACCAGCTTGCAATCTCACCAGCAATGGAGGAGTGTTCCTCTTTCTCCACATCTTCACCAGCATCTGCTATCACCTCAATTTTTGATCTTAGCCATTCTGACTGGTGTGAAGTGGAATCTCAGGGTTGTTTTCATTTGCATTTCCCTGATGACAAAGGATATTGAACATTTCTTTAAGTATTTCTCAGCCATTCAGGATTCCTCAGTTGAGAATTCTCTGTTTAACGTAGTGCCCCATTTTTAATAGGGTTATTTGCTTCTTTGAAATCTAATTTCTTGTGTTCTTTCCATCTCTGTGAAGAATTGAGTTGGAAGTTTGATAGGGGTTGAGTTGAACCTGTAGATTGCTTTTGGTAAGATGGCCATTTTTACTATGTTCATCCTTCTGATCCATGAGCATGGAAGATCTTTCCAACTTCTCAG